GAACCCTTTTTAAAAAAAAAAAAAAAAAAAAAAAAAAAAAAGGATAAAAATGACAAAATTGAACTCAGTGGTTATGAGCATTGGCTGCTCTTGCAGAGACCTGGATTTGAATCCCAGCAGCACCCATATGACGGCTAACGGCTAACAACCATCTGTAACTCCAGTTTCAGGGGATCAGACACCCTCTTCTGTCCCCAACGGCACTGTCCAACACAGCTGCACTTACACACATGCAAGCATAACACTCATACACATAAAAATAAAAAATGACAAAAATACAAGATGGGAGGAAGTACCTGCAAACCACTATCTGACAAAAGACTAGTACCTGGAATTCATCAAGAACTCTAAAACGAAACAATGAAAGTAGAATATGAGTAAAGGACATGAAGAAACATCTAGCTGAACAGGATATAAAGATGATGAAGGGGCTGGGGAGGTGGCTCAACAGTTAAGAGCACTGGCTGCTCTTGCAGACCTGGGTCTGGTTCCTGGCACTCACATGGCAGCTCACAATTGCATGTGACTCCAGTTCTAGGGGATCCAGCACCTTCTCTGGCCTCTCAGCACCAAGCATGCGCATAGTGCACATACAGACATGCAGGCAAAACACTCATATACACAAAAACAAAACTTAAGAAACGATGGTAATGAAGCACATAACCAATGTTTAGCATCACTGGCGATTAGGGAAATACACAAAGAGGCATCAGTACACAAGTATCAGAATTCAGTAAACAGTTGACAGCATCAAACGTAATGTAGGATGGATGTGTGGAAAGCAGATCATGCACTGATGGTGGGACTATAAAATGGCACAGGTACTCTGAAGCACGGCAGTTTCTTAAAATATGGTTAAAGAAATGGCACACAATCATGTTACAGAATATTGTTCAGCAATCCTTCCCCTCAAAAGAAAAACCACCAAAAAAAGGAACTATGGAACTATGGTTAGTATATAACAACTTGGATAAATCTTCAGAGAATTATGCCAAGTGAAAAAAGCCAATTGCCAAAGGTCCATACTGCATGATTCCATTTATAATACAGAATGTTCTTAAAATGACAGATATAAAATGGAGAATAGATTATCATGGCTGCCAGGGACTGAGAAGGTAGAAGAAGATGACAAATGGATGTGGTTTAAGATGGCGGCATGACTTCTGTAGCTGTAAGAATGCCCTATATCTTGCGTCCATCAATGTCAGCATCCTGGATATTAAACTGTAACTTTACAAGATGCTCCTATGGGAGGAAACTGGGTAAAAGGTACATAGGTCTCTCTGTACTCTATTTCACAACTGCATCTTAAATTTGAAGCTATCTGGAAAAAAAAATTTAGACTTAAAACATAATCAAATCTGTTGTATCCACACTGTCTGTAATAAACTCCTGGGGACAATACAGTGCAACTGCAGCAATGCAATCAAATTCTCTGAAACTGTTGCTCCCAACATGAGGAATTCTCTCTTGGTAGGAAAGATAGCATAATTACCAGTGCAGCAAATCTGACTCACCGTTTGTTTCTGGAGACCATCTAACTTGTCCTCAGCACTCTCTTCTTTATCTATGTTGCCTCTAAATAAAAGTAATTATATACCACTTAAAAATTATGTTATTACCAGCATGCTTGTAAGAAAACCCCCGAAATCCTTGACTAAATGGAAAATCAATAGACCTCTTCCTCCACTGGCAGTCAAATCTTAATTATTCTTCCTTTCTTTTCAGAGAACCTTAGATAAGTTTCTTAGATAAGGTTTTTACCATCTTTGGTAAAAAGAGACATTTTTTACCAAAATGGCTATCACTTTGGTGGGCAAAGATGACCACTCAACTGAGACCTCACACGAGGCTCCAGTGTACTTAGAGGCTGGCTGCTCATGACACCATCAGCAAAAAGGCCATTCGAACCCATCAAGAGCTGTCTGCATACAGGGCTGACAGAAGGGTAAGAATAGCCTAGACTGAAAGTTGTGCTAATCAAGTTCCACCCCAACCAAAGGAGTGACTCTTTCCTTCTTCATCTGGCAGAAACAGGCTCCTGAAAGGGAGCTGTCTACTGCAGAGAAGGAAGGGCACTTTATTGTCCTTGCCATCACACTTATGACGTCACACTCAGCTGTTTAACATTTCTTCTCCTGTGAGCTTAACTACTGCTGATGCCTGTTTTTCACGATTCTTTTAAAACGGACTTTGAAATAAATATGCTTGTCCTAAATATGCTTGTCCTTGTTGCCCACGTTCAGGAAGTGGGAGACTCTACCTACCTCCAGTGTATAACTGGAAAGGAGAGTCCCTCCCCCCCCAACCCCACCCCCACACGTACTATAAAATCGCATGCTACACTCAGGTACTGACAGGGAGTGTTTTTCCTGAAGCAGTCAATTTAACCAACACCAGGATCACTAGTCATTAGGGTCTTTGTTAATGTCTTTTTATTGCATGTATTTTTATTGCATGTCCACAGGAAATGCCTTTCTGGGCAATGCAAAGTATTATCTGATACTCAGAGGGAGAAAAATTTGGCCAAAAGCTTATAACATATAATCCAGGCAGTAAATGTGGCTTTCCAAAAAATCTGTATACTTTGGAAAGCTATTGTTTTTAGCTGTTGTTAGCTTTCCTTGAGAATTGACATATTTCTGGGGTTATGCAAACCATAAATAAAACTCAGCCAGAGGGTACTTCCACATGTTTTTGTATAGCAACCCTCCACAGACCAAAGTGACACAGCCATTAGGGAGTGGCTCCAAAGTCCACCTGAGAGGCTGTGAAACCTGTAAGTGATACTGGCCAGCTGAGAGACTTTATGATCAGGAGGCCTGTATTTGCTATGCCTCTGTGTAGTTTTCATCCAGGTATAAGAGGTTTAAGTCTTCCTTCAGAGCCCCCTGAGGAGACACAACGTGAGTGTGGGTAACAAGCAAGGCAGGATAGCAGGCAGCCTGAGGAACTCCATGAAGGACAAAAATTGGAATTTGAGTCAAAGAACAAGTTTACGGCATAGTAGGATGGACCCAGAGAAGCAATTTCAGGGACACAGTCATAGCAAGGCTTAAGAGGGATGTTAGACATTGAGGAAAAGATACAGAGTGTTGGATGTATGTGGAATAGGACATACATTGGTGACAGGGAAGGTGATGTAAGAGTTGGCTGATGTGGCTTCTCACCTTTCAGGAAGATCTGAGGTTCCATCCGCAACACCCTGTTCTGCAGAAAGGGACTTCTCATCAGGCATTCCGACTTTCTCTAGGAAGCAGAGTGCTGGGTCTGCCCGCATAGCATTGTACCTCTCATAGCCTGAGTGAGCAATGAGAAGTTCAGAAGTCAGGTCAGAACTCACCAAGTCATGTCAGAACTCATCAGATCTGCCCTGAGCCCTAGATGCTTACTTTGTTTTTCTTATTAAGAATTATGACAAAATTAAAAAAAAAAAAAGAAAAAGAAAAAGCTTATTTAGGATTAATGAGACCTTATGAGACTTCCAAACTGGGAAAGGTCCTGCAGGTACTTCTGAGCAGCTTCTTAGAAAGGCTGTAGCTTATGTAAACACTCTGTGGTTGTGAATAGAGACAGTACACAGATGTAATTCTCAGTGGTTTGCAGCTTTGGACAGCAAGGGATACCAGATGAACTGCTTTTACAACTTCTTCCTCCAATTCCTTGACACCTTGTTATGTTTTCAATGGGTTGTATTAGTTATTTTCTGTTGCTGTGATAGAAACACCATACCAAGGGAACTTATAAAAGGAAGAGTTTATTTAGCTTATGGTTCCAAAGGGGCAAGAGTCCATCATGGTGGGGAGGTGTGGCGGCAGAGGTGTCTGGAGTAGGAGCAGAAGCTAAGTGCGCACATCTTCAAGCAGGCACAGGAAGCAGAGTGTGACTGGAGATCCACCAAGGCTTAAGGCTTTTCTAAGCCCACCCACCCTCTGTGACATGCTTCTTCCAGCATGGCCACACCTTCTAAGACCTCCCAAAATAGTGCCACCAAGTGGGGACAAAATGTTCAAATACAGCTGGGCATGGTGGCGCATGCCTTTAGTCCCAGCACTGAGGAGGCAGGTGGATCTCTATGAGTTCAAGGCCAGCCTGGTCTACATAGCGAGTTCCAGGTCAGCTGGGGCTACAGTGAGACCCTGACTCAAAAAAAAAAAAAAGTTCAAATACTTGGAGTCTATGGCGGACATTCTCATTTAACACAGGTCTCGTTTTCTTACAGTCCCACTCTAGCCTATGTGCTAGAAGAGGAAGCTAAACAAAATGATGGATGCAAGGGCTGAATTATAAAGAGGACCACTGTGATTGGGCTTAAAAGACCTGCTGTTCTGTATTACAAACCCAGTAAAAAATCCCAATACACACTGGCCAGGGCTTTGAATTGCTCAGCACACCTCCAAAGCAAATAGGAGTATTTTGAACCAGAGATGAACTTTAAAGGCAGAACAATGAAGAAAAAAAACAACTTGTACTTTATGTGTGTACTTGTGGAGACCATAGGTTGGCATTGGGGGTCTTCCCCTAGTGCCTGCCACCTAGTATTGGAGACAGGGTCCCTCCCTGATCCTGAAGCTCAGCAGCTGGCGAGGGCAGCTGGCCAGCAAGCTCTGGGGATCCTTCTGCATCTGCACTTCCTTTTTCCCTGCATCAGGCTCCAGGTGCACACTCCTATGCCTAGCTTTAATGTGGGTGCTAGGGATACAAACTCAGGTCCTCCTGCTTAGCAGACAGCTTCCTGATGAGTCACCTCCTGGCCACCATTATACTTTGAGAAAGTCCAAGCATGAGAACAATGTGTTATTCTGTCAAACTGAACAATTATGAGATAGGACTTGTTTAAGCAAAAGACCTAAATCTACTGTCATACAAACTTTTGGGGGAACACTTGTGAAAGTGAAAATTCTTGTGATGTTTCATGTCATAAATGAAGTCAATCTCTCATTCTATAGCATGTGAGACCCTCTGGTAGGTGATGGAAGAGCTGAATGCAGTTGAGAACCAGCCTGGTTATTCACTTTGCTGGGTCCACTTCCACCGTGGTATTGTTCTCCTGTCACTGTCCTTCACCTGTATGAGCACCTGGCACCAAATTTGGCTCCTCTGGAAGAGTAGCATTGCTGAGCCATCTCTCCAGTTCAAGGCACTTGATCTTTTTTTTTTTTTGAGACATGGTCTCCCTGTAGCCCCAGGTGTCCTGGAACTCACTATGTAGACAAGGCTGGCCTTGAACTCACAGAGATCTGCCTGCCTCTGCCTCCCGAGTGCTGGGATTAAAGGTGTGCACCACCACGCCCGGCCCAGCACTTGATTTTTCATTTATTTATTTTCATTTTACATATACGAGTATTATGCTTGCATGTGTGTAAGTGCACTCCCATATCCTGCAATGGCCATGGAAGACAGAAGAGGGCGTTGGATCCCCTGGAAATGGAATTACAGACAGTTGTTAGCTGCCATGTGGGTGCTGGGATTGAAACTGGGTCCTCTGCAAGAGCATCCAGTGCTCTTAACCAGAGTCATCTCTCCAGCCTCTGCACTCTTTTAACGCAATGTGACTCTCCTGTCATCTCTGACAGGTGCTGCTGCCATCTTATCACTGAAGCACATGCCATGAGAAATGGCTGTCTTGTTCTTTTTACTCACTTATCCTTTACAATGGTGATCTGATCACTGTAAGTCTCTCTGATGAGACTGTGGGCTCTCTAGGAATAGAATCTTGGGTCTCCCTCATTATTCTGTTCGGCCTCTAGGGCAGGGCCCGACGTTGCAATCATTCAACAAATTGACAGACTAGGTGAGTCAGTTTTCCCAAGACTTGTTTTCTTCCAATTATTGTTATAGGAAGACTAATTTTCACTTTTCCCATCTTAGTTTACATCAAAATTTCCCAATATGCCCATCTTAAGGAAATTCCTGCTACTGCCTGTCTCTCAAGGAGAGGGGTGAAATCAAGACAGAGAGACGGTGAAAGCCTTCCTCCTTCCACTGTTCCTTTACCACTGAGGGAGGTTAACTGTCCATGAGCGTTCTGACTCCATGCGCTCTACTTAACAGAGCATGAAGTAGGCTAGGATCCTTCATGTGCCCTCCTGGGTAAGTCTCTATACTGTATATTTTGTCGTGTCATGTGTCCCAACGGAGCAGTTGTCAATACATTTGAAAGCTGTCAAGAGCATCATTCAAACTAGGCTTGCCTTAGGGGCTTTCTGCTGCAGGCTAGAGTCCCAACTGAAGAAGACTCAGCTTATTCTACTAGGGTTGGCTTGAAGATGGAACCTTCTCATTTAAGCAGGTTGTCTGAAGAGAGATGTATATGCAAAACTAGAGTTTCTTTACAAAGAAAATAGTTGAGGTGCTATAGTGCACTTAACCAAGGCATGGAGGAGAGGCAGAGGTGACTTTGTGATGGTAACAATGATCAGTCAGCTGAAAGCAAGACCAGACTCTTAAGACAGTTAGAAGTGAAGACAGGTACTTGTTTCAGTTTTCTCAAGCTATTAAAAACCTTAGTCCTCTTTAATCTCTTCTAATGTTAAATAAATTAAATATTTGTTGGGTATGGTGGCACAGTTCTTTAATCCCAGCACTTAGGAGGCACAGGCAGGTGAATCTTTCTAAGAACAAGGCCAACCTGCTCTGTGAATTCCAGACCCTGTCTCAAAAAAACAAAAAATGAAACCAAACAAATTAAAGATTTTCTAGACATATGTGCTTACATCTTTAACATCAAGATGGCAAAGATACAAACTAAGGATATATAGATTTCCCCCAATGACCTTAGAATTTTGCATACAAATGAAGGGCTAAAACCTAGCACTTTCCCTCATTAATTTATTTCTTTATTCAAGTAACAGTAAGTACCTACTATATACCAAGCATTAGGCCAGACACCAGGATAGTTCAGAATAAATGACAGGGAATTTGAGAAGACGGCTCAATTGGTGCTGTGGTTTGAATACGAAAAGTCCTCCATAAGCTCCTGTGTTTGAACACTTCATCTCTAGCTGGTGGTGCTGTCTGGGAAGGTTATAGAAAGAACCTTTAGGAGGTGGAGCTTTGTTGGAAGGCAGTATGTCACTGGGGGTGGTGGGTTTTGAGGTTTGATGGCCTGGCTCTACTTCCTCTTCTCTCTGCTTCCTGTGTGAATGATCATTCTGCTTCCTGACTTCCAGACCAGCCTCATACTCCTGCTGCCATGTCTTCACCATGATAAACCCTTTCTCCTCTAAGTTGCTTTTGTCAGGGTATTTTATCATACCAACAGAAAAGTAACAAAGAAGGCTGGTAGGAGTGCTTGCCGTGAGGGCATGAAGACCTGAGTTCAGATCCCCAGAGTCCACGTAAAAAACCAGGCACAGCTGTGTGTGCCTGTAACCTCAGTGTTGGGGGAGATGGAGATAGGATGGTTTCTGGGGCTTGCTGGTCAGCTAGCCTAGATGAGCTAGGTGAGTGCCAGGTTCATTGAGAGAAACTGTCTCAACGGATAAGGTGGAGATTCATAAGAGAATATGCTTGATGTCCTGTGGCTTTAATATGCATGTGAATACACCTTCACACATTCCTGCATATGACACACACACACACACACACACACACACACACACACACACACACACACGCTCGCACGCACACACACATGGGCGCATGCACACACACACGCACACGCACAAATAAATGAGGTGGATGCAGTCCCATCTCAAATGCAAACCAGCAAGTTAGGAAAATAAAATATCAAATATGTTCTTTGTGACCACAGTTACTCTTTTGAAGTTTCTTAATAGTATATTCATAGAACTGTCATGAGTCACACACATTCATCTGATCAAGACTCCAAGTAGGCAGAGATGATGTTCAGCTTTCTAAGAATTAGACAAGGGGATTGTTGGGGTTTTGAAGGAATGTGTAGAGCTAAGTGAAGACTACCTGAATCATCTTTCCAGGGAGAATAGATCCAGAAGGGAAAGCATTCTTAAAATACATACCATGTGGCCGGGCGTGGTGGCACACGCCTTAAATTCCAGCACTCGGGAGGTAGAGGCAGGCAGATCTCTGTGAGTTCAAGGCTAGCCTGGTCTACATAGTGAGTTCTAGGACAGCTGGGGCTACAGGGAGACCCTGTGTCAAAAAGACCAAAAAAAAACCCCCAACAACAACAAAAAAAACATACCATGTTTGAACACGCCAATGAGAAGGGATTTATCAGCCTCAGCGTCCCACCAATCTACAGGGATCTCCACGTAGTCGATGTCGGGCAGAGGCACATCGAGCTCCCTATGGAAGGAAGGGTGTGGACTTAAGAGTTCCTTCCACACAGACACAAATGACACAAAAGCTACTGACCCAACCCTGGTAAGAAGGCACAGTCCTAGTTGCATGCTCAGATGCTAAAGTAACAATTAAGAGAAGAATTCAGAAGGCTACAGGTCAATATTTCTTAATCAGGCTTTGTGTCAGAATCACCCATGGAGATATTTAAGCAGATGAACTTGATGTCTAGACTCCACTTGAGATGGAAGGACAATCCTGAAGTATCCTTTAGAGAATCCATTACCAGTTGGCCCTGCGCTCAATGTGTACAGTTTTGACATGTGTAACTTTAAGTTGGGAACAACAGCAAAAGTCTGTGATACACTGGTTATTTGAAGGCTAAATTTCCCCCAGTGCTTGAACTGAGATATGACTGAATCCTTAAAATACTATCTAATCATCTGGCTCAAAGGTTGCACTGTGCAATCTGGGATATAAATAGGGCCTTTCAGAAAGTAAGTGGTCTGTTTGATCAAAACTGATCATGAATTGCATTGTTCTCAGCCAAAAAGGTGAGTGTAATTTGCCTGGGAAGCAGACACGCTGGGATTGGCAGGCATGCTAAATGGGCAGGCCTGTGGTATCAGCCCCTCCAAGTTCCTTTCCATGTTCCGAGGTTGCACAATGGACTCTTAGCTCACTGTCTTCCTCCATCTGAGTTCTGGCTCTTGGAAGGTTTTGGGGGTTAGAGGGAGGCACATCTAGTTCCTCCCTTCCCTCCCCACTGCCAGAGATGCTGCATTTGAAAATTATCCTTCCATCAGGCTCTTACTATGAATGACACAAGCCCGACTGCTCCTTGACAGGCCCAGCTCCTTTTATGAAGTCAGTATGGCTCCCAGCTTTCAAAAAACCCACTGGTCTGTCTCCACAGTGTCATGGGAGGTATCAACTTTTTGGGATGACTGCTGCCATGCTTATGACAACTGCTCACCAAGGCTAAATTAAGCCTAAACAGGACCAGTGAGGAACTGAGAAGAAAGTAGAGGCTGTTTTTCTCTACCCACCCATTTACAATCTGGGTAGCTTGTCCTGGACAGTGTGAGAACATGGGTCTCCTGAAGCAACAGTCTGGTCAGTCTATGACTGGCAATTTATGTCAATTCTTTAACACTGACAGCTGAGGTTGGTGTTTACCTGGCAGGAGTTCCCTCAAATGCTTTATCAGCTGCTTCTCCCAGTATCTCAGCTTTTAGGTAGTATAACATCCGGACTCGCAAAAGCACCCTATGAAGACGAACACATTAATGCAAATACTGAGGTACCTATAACTACATCACCTAATTAAGACAGGGAAATTCTGAGCATTCCTGAACAGTTAGTAGTAGGAAGGGATGTATCAGAACACACAGACCAGAACAAGACAGCAAGTATCAATGCCAGATGTTACTAGGATCACCTGTGTTAACCCAAGAAAATAACCATCTCCCTTACTTGGTAGACTACTCTGGGAGCCAAAGGACAGAGCAGAGACAGACGGCAACATCTTCATTCCTGATCTTTCTACATGGCTACAAAGACCAGAGGCAGAGCCGGCTTCTAAGAAGCCAATTATCAGTTTAAGAGTTATGAAAGAGTGAGTACTGCTGAATGTGCCTTCAATCTCATGTGCACACAGTGAGACAAATACTTTTCTCTCCTGAGGTCCTTCATTCACTTTGCTTCTGCATGGGCTATACACAGGCTCCATGGCAATGCTCCCAAATTATGTTTCAGCAAAGGCAATTAAGTATATGTTGGACAACTACCATCTACCCTGTGCCCTGCTGTGAAGCCTGTAACAAAGTAAACAACTCAACCGTGTTCTATAGGCACCTAAAAGTCCAGTGTGAAACCAGACCAACCAAGAGTCAGAACACAGAAGCTGACAGTCAAGGTCCAGGCTAAATGTGCACAAACACAGGGAGGAAGTACAGGTGCAGAGGACAGGGCTGTAGAGGAAATGCTTCATACTCAAGCGAAGCAGCAAAGAGGCCTAGAGGAGCACTTGCAGTTGACTCAATACCAGTCAAGAGTGTAAGTTTGGGGGCTGGAGAGATGGCTCAGCAGTTAAGAGCATTGGCTGCTCTTGTAGAAGACCCAGGTTTGGTTCCTAGCACCCACATGGTGGCTAATGACCACCTGTAACTCCAGATTCAAAGGATCTCATACTCTCTTCTGACTTCTGCTGGCACTGAATGACATGGGTGCAGCCAAAAACTCAAACACATAAAATATACAATGTAGTGGGCATGGTGGCACACGCCTTTAATCCCAGCACTCAGGAAGGCAGAGGCAGGAGGCAGAGGCAGGCGGATCTCTGTGACTTCAACGCCAGCCTGGTCTACATAGTGAGTTCCAGGACAGCTGGGGCTACAGGGAGACCCTGTCTCAAAAAAAAAGCAAAACAAAACAATAAACAAAAAACAAAAAACAAGGTAGCCATTAAAGAAAGCCTAAACAGGACCAGTGAGGAAAGCCTGTGTACAATGATAGTACTTAAATAAGAACTGACCTCCAAATAACTTGTGTAATGAAAGGGATTACAAATACTATGTACAACACTCTTGATTTTAAGGAAGAAAAAAGGAGGCTATCGGCTATATATTCATATATGTCAGTATCACACAGAGTATCTTTGAGGAACCAGGGTAACCTCAGCCAACTCGAGAAGGCAATGGAGGAACTGGAGGTGGAAGAAAAATTATTTCTGACAGAAGGGTTTAACATATATATGTGACCTATTAAAAAGAATGCAGGATTGAAGTCTCTAAAATGCATAATTTCTATTAGATCAGAGGAGAAAATGCCAATGTGGCCTGGCTTAGAGGCAGAGACAGGATGTCCTGACTGGCTCAAGAGTCAAGTTAGAAAGAATCCTGAGGGTATACAATGCATTGTAAGAGCGAAGAGATACTGTTAAAGAAGTTCTAGCTATGATATAGTGAAGGGAATTCAGATCTAGTTTATGCCCCAGGTCCCTAATCCTGTCTTCCACATCTTGCATGGGACATAGTTTAGGAGCATGAAGTGATCTCCCTGCGGAAGTCCCAGAAGCCAAACAGTTTGAGCAAGGCTGCCTCTGGAAGATGGAGGGGCACACTCACTTGTTGCAGTGCTGTTTAAGGTGTTTCTTGTACCCATCATCATGCAACACCACCTCTGGGTTGCAGGTGGCCAGCCAGTCTGCATTCTTCAGTTCTGGAAGCAATAGCTGGTTTTTCGTCTTCTTTCCTTTCCTTCCTCTGGGGACTGGGGCAGACAACCCTGGATTGGAGAGACAGTACAGGGCTATGGATGAGCAAAGGGGGCTTCAACTTGGATATTAACTTGGGTTGGGCTGAGTTGCAGAAGCAACCAGGCCATGTATGGTACTCCCTGGGAGGCTTCCTACGAAACTTTGGTAAATGAGCAGGAACACACATGGGGAACTGCAAGAGAGCCCAGCTGTCCTTAAACAAAACAATACAATACAGCTAAGGAGGATCCAAGGGAGAAATGAGAACACAGCCATTCCACCTCTCACCTGAGTGGTTCTGGAGGATCTGAGTTTGCCCATCTTTGGAAGGTGTGATCAGTTCCCAAATGAAACTCTTGATCTTCTCATCCCCCTTGTAATGCTTAACACAGTATACCAACAGGGCACGGCAAATCATTTCCATATCCTTCTCATTCAGGTGCCACTTGAAGCGCCCATGAGTCAGGATGTCCTTCCACCGGCCCCAGCTGATGGTGGGAATACAGAAGGTATTGAAGGTCTGTGAAGGGCCACAGACACACCCTCCACATGGTAGGGATTAAGAGTCAAGATGCTTCCCATCCTCTTATAGGTCTATTAGTTATCCCAGAAACTGTCCTGAAAGGCCTGTGAGGACTATGTGTCGACAGTAACAAAACATCACTAAGGTGACCTAGACAATGATTCATATGGTTGCTAGGTTGTTAAGTAGTGATAAACCAAAATACTAGGGACAGGGAGTAAGTCTGGAATTGGCTGAGTGCAGCTGTAGTAACTGCCCCATAAATAAGGCCTTGAGTAACATTTATTGCACTAACTCTTTAGGAAATTAGTATCAGAGATTTACTGTGACATGCATTTGAGGTCATGGTATGTCTACACTAAGGTGACAGAGCACAGTGACGAGGGGAGTTCCAGTTACAAAGCAGAGCTCTCTTGTGTCAGCAGATCTCATTAGCTGGTAACCAGAGGGGACTAGAGAGAAACTGCCCAAGTCGTACATGTTGAAAAACAGAGTGGGAAAATAATAGCAGCAGCAGTACCACCACCAAGCAGAGCCAATACCCACCCAAAAATGAGCAGGTTCTTCTCTACCCGGAAGCACTCGGCTCGGAGATAGCGCCTGGCTTTGTCACTGAGGCGCCTGGACCTTGTGGGCCTTTCGTCTGAGTCGCTGTCTAATTCTGAGAACTCCATGAGCTCGTCTTCCTCAAAAGAATTGTAGTGTTTGGTCTGCTTTCTCACACGAGGCCGGTCGATCACTAAGCTTTCCTAGAAACGGAGAAGATTATGGGAGGAAGCCTCTTCTCTCTACCATCACGATGTACAAGCATCCTGCGGCCGCTTCTCAGGATGCATTTGAGAAGGGAGCACCCCAAGCTATCCTCTGGCAAGAAAGGCTCTTTACAGCCTACCTGCTGTCTCCATGACCATAGACATAGGACCAGCACAGGGGATTCTCTGGGAATTGCTTAAGTTGTGTTTCCTGGTCCCCAGTACTGTCTACCACCATCTGTTGTGCTGCCACTATTCTAGCAGGCAGGGCCTCCCAGTGCCCAGAGTGGCAGTCTGCTCTTGTCAAGAAAGACTATAGTGGGGAGCCCAGCTGTTCAGCCTGGCATGCAGAGAGCAGTTGGTGCTCTGGAGACAGGACAGGTCAGAGAATTCCATCTGCTCAGCAACTTTCTGAAGACAAACACATCCTGCTGCTTTTATTATCTGTCTCCCCTGGTTCTATCTACTAACCTTTTACCAAAAGACAACATTCCTAGCTTAGGAATTTCATTTTAGTGACTTCCCTGGCCAAACCAATTCCTTGTTCTCTAGTCCCACTATTTCCAGCTCCGTATCTTGACATCCCAAGGCCAGGCAAACACTTCTCCATACAGTCCAGATAGCAAATTTCCAGTGCCATCCCTGCCTCACTGACCCTGCTTCCTACCATGCAATGTTCCCATTGCTTTTTGCCGCCCACAGGGCAGGAACTCTTCCTTCCTCTCTCCCCAACTGTCCTGCCCACACAGTGGCTCCTTGATTGTGACACTGTATGGTACTTCAAGCAGAAAACTACAGGGGTTCAGAATCCTTTTAAAGAAGGAGAAACCACATTTCTTTTTGGAGAGAAGAACCTGAACCAGCCACCAGTAGGCCTGCAGGCACATAGCCGTGACTGGTTGCTGTTCACTGACTTGCATTGTAAGAAGCGTCTCCCAGGCTTGAACAAGGGTCCAACCCTCACCTGAGAAGACAGAGGAAAACGAGGTGTACTTACCCTGAAAGAGGTAATGCGGTTAACAGAAGAGGAAGGGAACTGACATTTTATGGGAGCTGCACAGTTGGCCAGGCACTGGTGACAGTTATGTTCATGATGTGACCTTGGAGCCTGTCTAGGGCCTTTAACAGTTCCTTTCCATTTGTCTGGCTAAGGTCAAGGGCCACAGAGTAAAGGCATACTCTGGTTTCATTCCCACAGTGAATCTCATGCAAACTGAACAACTAAAGAAATGGAGGTAAAGCCAGCAACCATTTTCTTTGCCATGCTTTTTACCTCTTTCGACTGTCAGAATGAGGCTGCTTCTACAGGAAATACTGAAATCAAGGTAAACAGCATAAACCTGGGATGAAAGAGAGGCTGAACTGGACCTGTGTGCCAGTCTCATCTCTGTCTTCATCTAACTTCCTGCGTGCCCAGCAGACTGTATGTCCCATTAGATCACCGTAACTGTATATAGTTACCGTTTACCAAGACTGCCTATGTGCCAGTCATGTTTTATGTCTGTTTCAATAGCTCTTCATTCAAGACTCAGGATTAAATAATGACTTGAGGTATCTAGGAATGGTACAGGAGACCCCCAATGAAATGTTCAGTGAAATAAAATATGCTGTTACCTTTTCATTCTTTGCTTCAGTGTCTAATTCAGCTATTTTAGCCCATTTCTGCCAAAAGTTAGGATCATCTAAGGAAATATCTGTTCTGTTTCCTGAAGCCACAAAGCTCGCCTGTGAAGGACAGAGGGTTGACAAACGAGTCTGAACACAGCACAAATAAAACTGTCATTTCAAATGCACCAAAAGCAAGTATGTTATTCATCTTAGTGCCAAAATTAAAAACCCTAACAGCACTTCCAAAACACGAATGTGAAATCTCAAAACTATTCCCACCTTTTTAAAAAGACTGAATGTGGAAATTGAAATTTCAACCCATAGGACTGGTTTCATGAAACATAAAACTTCAAAGTAAGACAACCCTGAAGACAATGGCAATATAGCAATGTATAGCCTGGTGCCTAACTGCCTGTAAAAGGGATTTGCTTGCTTTCTTATTTATTTAATTAAAATTAATTTATTTACTTATTTTAATTTTTATGTGTATAAGTGTTTTGTCTGCATGTGTTTAAGTACATCCATCTCGTGTAATAACTCAAAGAGGCCAGGATAGGGCACTAGATCTCCTGAAACTGGAGTTATGAACAGTTGTTAGCTGCCATGTGGGTCCTGGGAATGAAACTTGGGTCTCTGTAAGGGCAGCCAGTGCTCTTAACTGCTGAGCCACCTCTCCAGCCCCCTATTTATTTTTTTGATATAAGGTGAAATCAAGTACCTTGGGCTGGCCTCAAACTTAGAATCCTGTTGCCTTATCAGCCTCTGGAGAGCTGGAATCACAGGTATGCATCTTCATACCCAGGTTGAATGGGTTAAACTATTATTATTTTTTGGATAGGATCTTATTATGTAATCCAGGTTAGCCTAGAATCTGTGATCTTTAGCCTCCCAAGTACTAGATGACAGCTCTGTACCACCATCCTTAGCTAAAGATTTATTTTATTCCTTTTCTTTGACATAAGGGCTCATGCAACCTAGGCTAACTTTGAACTCATGTAGACAAGGATGACCTTGAACTTCTTATTTTTCTGCTTTTACCCCAGCAATGCTGGGATTATAGGTGGAATCACCCTGCTGAGTTTTCTGAGTTTTACCAGGGCCTGAACCTAAGGCCTTCACACATGTGAGGCAAGTACTCTACCAACTAAGTTACATTTCCAGCTCCTAGGTCCTAAAAGATTAACGCTTTAAGAATTTTTTCCTTTCAGTTCTACAGTTACCATATATCTGGTAACATTAAAAATGGCACTGGGGGGGCTTGAGAGATGGCTTAATGGATAAAGTGCTTGCTGTGTGCATATGAGAAGTGGAGTTTGGATCCTCAGAACCCATGTAAAAACTTAACAGATGTGGCAGCTGTCTGTTACACCAGCACTTGGGAGGTAGAGATGGGGATCCCCAGGGCAAGCTAGCTAGTTCCAGCAGCTGACTTTCCCTACAGAGCACAAAATATCCTACTGAACAAGTTTGACATGAGCCACCAAATGGGAGACAGAACCAGAGGTCACAGAGCTCCCATAAGAACTGGCAGAGCCTGCAGCCAGGGCAATCTAAAAGTAATCTGCAGATTTCTAAACCGAGTGTCCCAAACGGTAGAGGAAGGTGGTCCTAGAGCTGGGAATCTTCCACAAAATCTCTTCCTATGAAATGAAAATATCTGCTTGAGTTTGAGGAATGGAATGTATACTGAAGGTCCACCCTTTGACAGTGTTCAAGGAAAGCTCCATAAGAGAACCAGGATGTCCACTTAAGGATTCTGGAGCAGTCCTTGCAAAGAGTAGACAGAATAAAGTACAGACTAGTATCTATCTGTGACTCCTTCGAGGCACTAAATCCTCAGGGTCACACTGATTAGATATGCAGGTGGACAATGTCAAAGAGGCTGCATTTGGAAATCGACAAGGAAGAAAAAAATAAGAAAAACACGTTCTCTTCCCTTCCACCCAATGACTATGGAGAGAAGGTCTTATACCTTGGCAAAAGTCGACCCTTTCCCCTCAGATTGGATGGTGATTGTGTGGGTTCTCCTTTGCAGAATCTGGTCTATGTCTTCTTCACAGAACTTGGAGCCTTCATCTTCTTCATCCATTAAGGCTCCATAAGCACCTTTCCGGAGCAAGTCTTCCACCTCCATTTTTGATAGCTGCTGTACCTGAACAGGTCACCAAAGGATACTTACAAAGTGGAGAATGCACAGGAGAAAAATAGCCTCAAATGTGGCCTTCATGATTAAGGATACAGTTCCTCTACTAACTGCAAATGTCAGAACAACAAATCAAATGAAAATCAGATAAAGGTGCCCTGGCTACTTTCTAGAGCGGGCAGGTAGGCAGGCTAGTCTCTATAAGGAGCTATGGAATAAAGTCTAGTACATTAACCAAAGGCCTAACATTCTTTAGGACACTGGTTATCATCAAATGTCATAAACCATTAAAACTATACCCTGTGAAGAGGATGCACTTGACATCTTACTTTAAAGTTTTAGTTTGAGTGTGTATCTTTAAAAGCCTCCAGATGTACCACATGAGCTGAGAAATAATGATTTATTCATTATTAAATAAATACATTTGTATTGGAAATGATGTCACTCCTTTACTACAAAAAGGATCCCTGTGATGTGTGATCTTTTCAACCACTTGTTGAAAACAGGAAATGGAGTTCAAAACACCCTTTCCTGGTTCTAATTTAGAATCTGGTTCTCTTATTTCAGTCACAAGAGGGAATTCCATGACTCCCAGGATGGGTAATGTGGAGTATTATAGCTAGCAACGCAGGCATAGCTAAGAGGATATAGAACATCTGGACTAAGGTTTTAATTTTCCATTTTGCTTCCCTAAGCAGAGAGATTAAGAAGATATGCTGCTTTGTACTTTAGAACCTTAGTTGTAATTTTTAACCCTCCCGAACCCAGACCCCCCCCCAAAAAACCATTTTTTGGAGACAGGGTCTTTATTACTTTTATTTTTTAAATTTTGTGTATGAGTGTATTGCCTGCATGTATGTAAGTGCACTGTGTCATGCAATGTCTGTGGAGGTCAGAAGAGGGCACTGGATCCCCTGGAAGTGGAGTTACAGGTGGCTGTGAGCCATCATGTGTGTGCTGGAATTTGAATCCTGGTCTTCTGCAAAAGCAGCCAGTGCTCTTTAACTGCTGAATCATTTCTCCAGCCGTAGAGACAGGGTCTTATGTACCGAAAATGGTCTTGAACTCACTTTATAGCAGAGGGTGGCCTTTAACTCCTGATCACCCTGTTTCTACCTCCCAAAGTGCTGGGATTATAGGCATGTGCTACCTACCATTCCAAGCTAGAAAACATTTTTAACTGTCACATTTCAAGATAACTTATTTATTCATTACTCATTAGCCATCACATTGAATATCTTTAAAGTGCTATGCACTGTTAGGAGCTATGGGGGACACAACATTGATTCCATTACATCATCAAGAAGTTCAAAGTCTGTGGTGAGACAAAGCAGAGCAACAAATGTATATTCACACAGAAAAGAATGTCAAACCTACAAGTTGTGATAGGCATGGTTAAACCTGTTACTGAAATGTTACTGCATGTTGAGCAGCCCTTCCACACAACTGTGACTCAGATTTTCTTTACCAATTAAGAAAATGCAGAGACTGACGCCAGATTATTCTCTGCTGTACGGAATTACCCAGCAATGATGTGGGGACTGACTCAAACAGTGAAAGGGAACACAGAATGAGCTCTCCAGCCAGACAAGTGCACCTTAATGCTTCAGGGCAGGCACAAGTATACTCACTCCATTGGTGCTGCCCTTTCGGTTGATGTCCTGAAGAATAGCCTTGTCCAGGCCCAGCTTCAGGCTGGCCTTGTCAAACATTTCTCGCTCATAGGAGTTCCTAGTGATTAGGCGATACACCTTCACGGCTTTGCTCTGGCCTATGCGATGACATCGGGCCTGAGCCTGGGAAGGGTCAGCATACAGTGTCACCATATATAATACGCACAAACACACACACACACACACACTCACAGTAGTTTCTGTAGCGTGAGTGGTCAGCTCTCATGGTTAGGTCACTCTTTTACCCATAGATGACTGACTACTCTGTGCCCAGCAACGGAACAGGAGGGCATGGTATCCTACTGTCCTGGCTTGGGGTCTGTATGCAGGCACCTTGTGAGGTGAGATTCATGGTCAGGATACTGCTCTACTTCTGGGAAACGTCTCAGAGGTGGCAGCACCACTTCTCTATTTTTAAAGTTTACTACAGAAAAATTTAAACACAGACAAAAATAGAGGAAAGCATAATAACCCTGTGGACACTCGTTTCCTTTCTGCTACATTCCTACTTTCCAGTATGGTGAGAAGGTGAATCCTGGGCATCAGAGTGGTTTTCATCATTATGTACTTGTAACGATAAAAGATGCCATATTACTATTCCTACACTTAAAAATAATTCTCTATAGCCGGGTGTAGTGGTGCATGCCTTTAATCCCAGTACTTGGGAGGCAGAGGCAGGTGGAGCTCTGTGAGTTCAAGAACAGCCTGGTCTACACAGTGAGTTCCAGGGCAGCTGGGGCTACTGGGAGACCCTGTCTCAAAAAAGACCAAAAAAAAAAAAAATCTGTTTTTTGGACTCTATTAATTGACCAAGGGTCTCATACATGCCTGGCAAGTGTTCTACCTCTGAGCTATGTGATGCCCACTCCCGCAATAATCTTTACTAACAACCATCTAGCTAGTCTTCCAACCTCCCTGCATATCTCACAATTTATATTTAAGTTTCCTTATTTGTGTGGAGTGAAATAAAGCCCACATACTGCCATCAGCTGGTGTTTCAAGGGGTTCTCTTTGATACTTCCTGCCTTTAACAGTTTTTTTCCAAATGCAATTTACTTGCTAATGCAATGTACCTGTCTCATGTATCTCCTCTAAACTAGAAGTTACAGCTTGAGACTTGATTAGGCTACGATCTGACTTCTGGCAAGGTTATTTCACAGATGGGCTCTCAAATTCCATCAGGAGGTACATGTTTATCTGCTTGCCTTTTATGGAATTGATGATCACAACCTAGACGCAATTCCTCTCCTTATTTTGGTTGCCCTAATACTATTAAGGAAAAAAACAAATCAAACATTTGCTTCTTTTTCTTCATTTAATCAGTTTCTAAAATAGCATCCTCTGAACTGACTAATAGAGTTTTGACCTTTTTTTTTTTTTTTTTTTTTTTAAAAGGAAAGGAATCCTAGTTTCTTTTAGCAAGGAATGTTCCTCCCCCATGTAAGGAGAGAAGGGTGTTACTGACATCAAGAAGGGATGGCCATGCCATATATGCCAGCCTTGCAGGCACCCCTGCAGACCTGAGTTCCTTCTTGCTTTCGATAGAGGTGAGCCAGAGCAGTGAGGATACAGCTATGGTGCTGCAATGAGTGAGTCAGTGACCGAGCAGGACTGTACCCTCAGACTGCTGCCTCTGCCTCATGGTCTTACTAGGATCCCAGGTTTAGAGTGGCAGTAAGGTCTCTGGCTCTAATAATACTAGGCTATTTAAAGGAAGCTGGTATCCCAGTGAGCATGAGTTTGAAAGCCCAGGGCACAGGAAAAGAGGATGAGTCTAAGTAGCTATGCTTAAGTCTGCCTATCAGGGACTCACCTTGGCTAGAGTCCAAATCTTTCCACTAATTCTATGGCTGAAATGACACCAGAACACCTTGTAACTCAATGCTACAGTAGCACAAAGCCTGAAAAGCCTGTGAAGCACAGAGATTGATGAGGGGCCACTGGGAAGAGCACACAGGAAAGGACCACTGTAGCAGGGCCCAGAGAGTTTCAGACCTCGGGCTGAGCAAGAGTCCATGGCCTGGGCTGGGTACTGTTTGTTTCAGTGGTTTTCCTTGTTTAAGAGTTCATCTTGGTGACCAAAGTTTACATAACCCAAATGACAAAGTTGTTCTCAGGGTAGGAGGGAAGCCAGAACTTGTTTCCATTCTCGTTGACAGTCAATTTCTGGGAGGCACAGGAGCATGTAGCTGCTGGACAGGAACTCATGTGCAAGACCACCAGGCAATGTCAGCAGCACAGACCCTGGATGCTTTGTGGCGGCAAAGTTTTTCATGGTGTGAGAACAGTTCACTCTTCCCTTTTGGCCAGAATTTGGGGCAAGTGGCTAAGAAGCAGTCCAGCCATAAGCAGAAAGTGGAAAAGGAATGTAGAGCCAATAATCTAAATCCTTTAGAGGTGCTTACTCATCTAAGTTTGGTTATTTCTAGGCCTACTACTGATATTTTAAAAACATCAAGTCCTGGAGATGTTGTTTAGTGAGATCCTCAGTTCTCAAACGGCATCAGTATCATTATTCATTTGACTGATCTCACACCTGCCTGTTTAGTACAGTCTCAGGAAAACAATACTACGGCAGCCCAGGAAAAGCATCAACTAACAGGTTAAAAACTTTTAATATATGATAGTGCGCGTGTATGTATGCATGCATGCGCGCATCGGTGTGGGTGCATGTGAAAGCCAGAGGTGTCTTTCTCAATCTCTTTACAGTACTTTTTGAGACATGATCGCTCACTGAACCTGAAGCTGGCCAAAGTGGTTAGAATGACTGGCCAAGCTCCTGTGTCTCTGCCTCCCATGCATCACCAAACCTGGATTTTTTTTTTTTTTTTGGTCTTTTTGAGACAGGGTCTCCTTGTAGCCCCAGCTGTCCTTGAACTCATAAAGATCTCCCTGCCTCTGCCTCCCGAGTGCTGGGATTAAAGGCATGAGCCACCAAGCCTGGCCAAACCTGGGTTTTTAAAAATATATTTTTATTTATTATTTTTTAAATTTTATGTGTATGAGTGTAGTTACTGCCTACATGCGTGTGAGTGCACCTGTGTTGTACAATGCCACGGAGGTCAGAAGAGGGCTTCGGATTCCCTTGGAACTGGAGTTAAGGATGGGTCATAGCCACCATGCGGGTGCTGGGAATCAAACCTGGGTCCTCTGCAAGAGGCTCTTAAATGCTAAGCCATCTCTCCAGCCCCCCAAACCTGGATTTTTAATGTAGAGTCTGGGGAACTGAAATCAGTTATTCATGTTTGCACAGCAAGCACGTTACCAACTGAGCCATATCCTTAGCCCTTTTGCTTCTCATCACTTACAGTTATATATCCTGCTAAGCATGTATAGTCAAAGTACAATGTTTTCAGAATACACCTGAAAGCAGGTTTCTTTTCTGCAGTACAGACATTAGCAATTCTGAAATGACTGACCTTACAGTAAATATTTGGGGGCACGGGGGGTCATAGGAGTAGGGCTTTACTTTTTGGAGAAGAAATTTGTAAACATAAAAAGGATGAAAATTCCCAGCACTTGGGAGGTAGAGGCAGGCGGACCTCTCTGAGTTCAAGGCCAGCCTGGTCTACATAGTGAGTTCTAGGACAGCTGGGACTACAGAGACCCTGTCTCAAAAAGAGCCCCCCCCAAAAAGGATGAAAATTAGAATAAGAATAAGCTGTATAGTATTAGAATAGATGGAAAGAATATAGTATTAATGGTGACAAGTATATGTGTACATTCAAATATATATGTACAGATACAGGAACATATGGATGCATATGTATGTGTTCATGTATGTACATATATTTATATACCTGTATGAGTGAGTGAATGTTATGCATATACACATATTTACACTTTATTCCTCTTTATGTACATTCTAGCTATGTACACTTAGGAAGTTTAGAAGCAATGTAACCCTAGTAGCAACTGACATGCCTACTCCTACTAACTCTTAGATCTTGTCTCTCAAATACCATTCTCTACACCACAGGACCACAGCACATTAAAGAAGTGGCTAACTGCAGGGAGAGCTGAAGCAGAAAAGGTGTAAGATAAACCCCAAACACACCACTGTGCTCAATGGAAGGAAAATGTGACTTGAGCTAGGCTGGGCATACACAGTTCTAATTCCAGCTATTGTAAGCCTAGCTGATCACATAGGTGAGTTCAAGACCAACCTGGGCAACTTAGTAAGACTACAACTCAAAATAAGAAGAAAAACGCTGATGATCTAATTAGCAGGCGGGTGTGTGCCTAGCATGCATAAGACTAATTACCACCACCACCACCACCACCACCACCACCACACACACACACACACACACACACACACACACACTTGTAAGAGACTCTTACTGGCCAACTGTATGAATATCTGAACACACCAAAAGAAAGATACTAAAAGATACTATACAACCCACTGAATAATAATAATTAAAAAAAATACCCATGAGTCCATACTAACACAAATAAATGAGAAAAATTAAAAAAACCTTTATACTGGAATGCCAAGTAACAAAAACACATCAATAAGCGACAGAGTTAGAAAATCAGCACTTTGTAACCATCACAGTGATGACTAACTCAGGGAAAGAAAACCAACAGAAACTAAAACCAGCAAACAAAAATTTGGCAAAACAGGTATAGACCCAACATATTTCTCTAAAATTACTTAGGAAACCAGCTACTTCAGAGTGGAGAAATCTATGTAATCAAAGCGAAGATCATCAGACAAATGAACCTCAGTTTCTGTGGATCTGCCATACCGAGAAGACTATCAATTCAGGAACAAATCTGAAATCCTGAAATACCAACAACACAAATTAGGAGCAACACACAGAGGGGTCATCTACCGCTCTGCAAAAGTTTCAAGTTCAAAGAAAACGAAAAGATGGATGCATATCCAGATTAAAGGAGGTCAAAGAGTAAATGGAGTGGCCAGTCCTGTACTGGGTCCTGAACTAGAGATGATAGGTACAAAAGAACAAAACAGAACTGAGATCTGAACACGGATTAGATGATTAAAGAATAAAGTTCTTACTTCCTGGTTCTGAGAACTGAAAAATGGGTACACAAGAGAAGGCCTCTGCACCTAGGAGAGAGAGGCTCAAGTGTTGGTGGGTAAATGGGTCTAC